AGTATGTACATACATGTCTATAAAATCCTCTAACAGAGTTCTCAGTACCTATTGTTTCACTTAGATATTCAAAAGCTGGCAAGAAATTATGCCTAACACAATTAGATTTAGCCTTTTACAGATGCTTTCTGGATGCATTGTTGGGGTCTGCACAATGGTCAGAAACTACCAGTCTGGTGCCAGGAATCCTCCATCTCCTAAATCCATAATTTTTCATTTGGCTCCAGTTTCTCTTCTGCCTGGGCTCCCATCAGTTCTGTCTCTGCATTCTTTTGTTAGCAGAAGTAAACAGGGAAAAAAAAAGAGTAGAGGAAATTTAACTCAGTTCTTGGTTGTATGCTCCTACTTCTGCAATCCTAATCCACTGGGCTGCCTGCACCACTAGCTAGAAATACAGCAGTAATGTCAAAAGAGGGAAAGTACTTCTGTTTGGTATTTCAAGTCAGGCAGTGAGAGAGCTGGACACTGCCCAGCTTAGATGCAGGTAACTCCTTTTTACCATATCACATTTCAGATTCACCACAGCCTTAAAGCAAAACAGGCTATATTTTTTGGAATCCCCCCTGGTCAGCATCATACTTCAGGGGCTTGCTGCCACATGTATTATCTCAGACATAAGACTTTCTTTTCTTTTTAACAGGTTTCTCTACAGACTAATTTTTATTCAACACTTATTTTCCCTGAAGGGCTAGAACTTTACCTAATACACTGACATACAATCAGCATAACCACTGCAAGCAGAACTCTGACAACACCACTTTAAAACACATTGTGCAAAATCATTCTCCAATTAGTCATGTTTATAGCATGATTTGTGAATAAGGGTATAGATTTATCAAGCAGTTTTAAGAAACCACATTAACAGAAAAAGCTTAAAGGATTAGTGGTGGCCTTACATTTATAATTGTGATTTTTTTTTTCTGTGAAGAGTTCTAAGGTGTTTTTTAATCTTATTTTTGCAAACCCTCCTGTATTGCTCATTCCGGTATTTAAGCAGAAATGAACACTTCCTTACATAATCTTAACTATAATTCTCTTCTGTTAATTATATCTTAAATTCAACGTGTTACAAATATTTGAAAGGCATCAATCATATTTGCAAAAACAATTTATCAAGACCAAAATATCTAACAAGAGTGTTAGTCACTTTTTCTACAGAATTTCGTGTGCTGCAAGAAACAGATTGTACTTATCATATCATCAAAAATTTACTGTCAGTTTATAAATATGTTAAGCAGGAGTATTTCTCATGTAAGGAAACATTCTGAGTTCAAAACCCAAGAAAATTAAAAGGGAACTCTAATAAATTACAGTACAGCAGTCTCCCCTTTCAGAAGTCTGAAGACCAAATACCAGCTATTGTCCAATGTCTTCCTTGGTACTTTAAATACTCAGCTTTCCTACCACCTTTTACACATATAGACTTAGGTCACAGTACACATACAATAAGACAACTTACAGAAAAATGTACTAATCAAACTTCATCTCGTAACAACAAAATCTCAAAGTACAGCTAGCCATTAACAATTAGGGTAGAACAGATTTGCATGAGAAGGGCCTCATCCTGAAATCTTGGTAGAATGACTTAAAATACAACACATAAAATACACCACCTCCAACGGCCTTCCTCCTATGAAGACTCTTACTGCTCTTTCTTCCCTAACTTTTCAGACATTCAATCTTTTTCAGCCTCCCAGGCTACCTGAATCTTAGTAAGGTTCTCACCACTGCAACCCAACACCTGTTCTTCTTTCCTTGCACTGCTACCAATCACCACGTCTCCCTTATGTTACTTCAAAGCACTGCTCCCAGAATCATCTTCTAATTCATTGTCAACCTTCACTAGCCTCCTTATTCTTCTCCAAGTTCTCAGATTTAATCTGTTAGTCCCTCCAATATTTAACCTTACTGTATCCATCAGATCTAGTTTTTAGCCATATGCTCACTTTTGTTAATGATTATAGCCTCGGCTTATCCCTCCTGAAAAGGTAACTTTCTACCATAGTGTGGATAGTAAACCCCTGACAGGTAGATGACCAACTGTGATGACTGCTGCTGACTGACCAGGAACCACCTTGGCACTCTTTTCCTCACCAGCTGCCACCCTCCAGTTGTACCTTGGTTTTCAGATGATTAAAATTTCCATTAGGCCTTAGAGCACTTTGCATAACAAGGTCCCAGATTCATTGTCCTTTTGATGCTACTACAGCTGTGTAAATCTTAAGTAATGACAGGGCATATGAGGTGGTTTCTGGAACATATGTCCCAGTGCTGCTGAAGTAGTCTCTAGTACCAGAAGATGGTGTGAGAAATTAATAGTTGAGATGAGACATATAATCCCCCGTCACGAGGATGTAACAGAAGCACAGCTAGATGTGACCCCAGTTTATAAGATGGTACCATCCTTGAGACCACGTAAACAAAATGCCTGGTAAATAATAGGAAAAAAAAATTTATACACACATGCATATACATGTATATCTGCATTCCTATTTAGTTTATATTTTATGCACAGTTATGTCTGACTCAACACTTTTCTTCATACTCTTTGTATCTTAATGTGCACCAGAATAAATCAGCTTCAGTTCCAGAAGTTCTATTAGTTTTATCTCCCAGCATTTTCTAAAAGTGGCTCCTGGTGGGTCATATAAAATAAAAGCAGCTTTTTACAGGAACAACAGATTTACAACTTTAATAAGACTGGCCTCCTTCCTGCATTAAAGTCTACAGTACACAACAAATCAGATTAACCAAGCTGGTATCAAATCTGAAGCCAAATGCATTTTTGAGCCAAACCTTAATTTTCTGAAGCAGTTCAAGCTTATTTTGAAGATGCTAAATTATTGATAAAGAAAATCAACTCTTTTTCCAGCTCAAGCAATGTCATATACAGCATATGCAAAAATAGCTAAGGTAGATTTGCTGTTTTATTAACTTCACAACCCTTTAGAATTAAATTACCTACTTATTCCTGTTTAGAACACAGATAAACAGTCACTACCAACAGCTTAACAACTTTTAACTTCAGATAAAATGTTTGTCTGAAAGCAGACTGTCAGAAACAGACAAAAAACCATGAGACACCTGCAGACTCTTAAGTTTATTTATTAAACTAGTATTATTTCCCCAACATCATTAAACTCAGACACTTCAGCAAATAAACTTTAATGCATTCTGTTTTTCTCAAAGGAGTTGAAATAATAAAACATATTCCATCCAAAGAGGCAACTGAAGAACGGCAAACAATCCTGGGAGAAAGAAGGCAGGATGGCAAGAACAGTTCTTTGTGCACAGTGACCTCCCCTAAACAAAAAATGGATGAGTATCTACATATATCCTTTTGCTTAGACTTGCTCCATAGCATATCAACTATTTTCAGTCCCTGTGATTTTGTTCAGCATCTATCTCCTAGCATTTCCAGAGAAAAATCTTAGGTAAAACAATGGATATTATGATGTAACCTTTCTTAAAAGTATCCCAACCATTGTACTACAAGATACATAAAAGAAGGAAATAAAATTATGGTACCAATCTTTCCCGTTCTAGAGTAGAACAGGAATTACACAGAATTGAGTAAGCAATTATTTACAAAGAAGCAACACCCACCCTCACAGATATATATATATATATATCCCAAAAATACCATAACTATCCGTTTTAGGACTTAATGATATCATAAGGTGACTTAATGGTATCATATGGCGACTTAATGGAAAACTCTCTTGAGCTTTCCTGTTGAAGATGTCCAGTTTAGTATAAAATACACAACTATCTGACAGAGGAAAAACTCACTCTCCAGGTTAGTTAATCACTATGCTTCTCCCAGCAGACACCTTGGACGATATACCCAATTGTACTTTTATACACAGTAAAACAGCCTGAACAAAGAGCTGCGTGCACACAAACAGAAATATCTTTTGCCCCCTGAATATCCTATCAGTTAGGACAAGACTTCTCTGCCAAATGCAAAAAATCCGTTCCCAGTTCTCTGATGAGTGTCCTCAGAACTCAGAAAAAGCAGATTTTTTTCTGTAAGCGATGACAGCCAACAATGGTGCAACTTCCAAAATGTTCCCAAATGAAACCACTGAGCGAAAAAACGCAGTTGCAAATAACTACTAAACAAGTAAATGCATATTCTTATGAATAAAGAGTCTTTTAAAAAATCCCTATTCAGTTCTAATATGAAATCCATAATAATGGTAAGTTACAAACACCTGCTTTTCAGTCAGCCACAATTCGAATGTGAGATAGCACATATCCAGACAAGGAATCTATTTGAAAAACATACAAATAGCCCCTCATAATAGAGTGGAAATAATCCCTTTTGTTGTAAATAACTTTATAAGCTCTGATGTGCACGTTACTGTTTCTGATCTAATTAAACCAGAAATCTGCCGTGGAAGCAAGCTCACCTAAGCGCTCCAAAAAGAGCTCAAACGCCTGGGCAAAACACAGCCATTTGCAGAAGGCAAATAACAAATGTTATTTTTCCTTCTCCTTCTTACTTAACCACTTATTGCACACGCCGCCCCTCTGCCCAGCGGCTCCCCGGCCCCGGGCGGGTGAGGGGGCAGCGGGGGCAGCAGCACCCACCCCTTGCCGGACTCTCAGCCCTTAGCAGGTCACCGCCGCCCATCGCCACACATGGACCGCCGCCGTGCCGCGGCGCGCACCACAGGCACCACGCGGCACCACACGCCTCCCTGCCCGGGGATCGAAGGCGCCCGGGGCCGCAGCCCTGCCCGGCGGCCGCAGCTCCCCGCCGTCCCCCCCGCCCCGCCGGCCCCCCACGCCCGCCCGGGCCCTCCCCACCCCGAGCGCCGCGCCTGCGGGACCCGCCCCGGCCCGGGCACGGCTTCGGCGCGCGAATCGCGCAGGCGCGGAGCGCCTCTTTCGTCCGCGCGTACGCGGGCGAAGGCGCGCCGAGTGTGCCCTCCGCGGCGGGATCGCGGGAGATCGTGCATCCCACACCTTCCCGTGGGGAAGGATGGCGGGCAATGGGCGCGGCGCTGGCCGCGGGGCTGCTTGTGAGGCTGGCGCGTTCTCTACGGGCTGCACCAGGCGCGCCATGCGATGCGCTACACCGACGTCGACTACGGGTGTTCACGGACGCGGCGCGGCTGGTGAGCGAGGGGCGCTCGCCTACGGGCGGGCCACCTACCCGCTACACGCCGCTCCTCGCCTGGCTCCTGACGCCCAGCGTGTTCCTCGCCGAGCCTTTCGGGAAGCTGCTCTTCGTGGCGGGGACCTGGCGGCCGCCGCCGTCGCCTACCGGGCCTGCGGCGCCGAGGGGCCGGGGCCGGGCGCGCCTGCGGGTGCTGCGCCGCTGCCTGGCTCCTCAACCCGCTGCCCATGGCCGTGTCCAGCCGGGGCAACGCCGAGGCGCTGGTGGCGCTGCTGGTGCTCGCCACGCTGTACTGGGTGGAGGCGGGCAGCGTGGGCAAGGCCGCGGTGTGCTACGGGCTGGCTGTGCACATGAAAATCTACCCCCTCACCTACGCGCTGCCCATCGCGCTCTACCTGCGGAGCGAGGACGGGGCAGTGGATGCAGGAGGTGACAGAAAGGCGAGGTTTACGTTTGTGGTGCACATCTGGCAGCTGTTTGTAAAGATGCTGAACTGCGATGTGCTGCTTTTTGCTACGGTTGCCGGATCCGTGCTGGCTGCCTTGACGCTGGCGTTTTATCACCTCTATGGCTGGGAGTTTTTGGAGCATGCCTACCTTTACCACGTGACCAGGAGGGATATCCGTCATAATTTCTCTCCCTATTTCTACATGTTGTACTTGACAGCAGAGAGCAAATGGAGTTTTGTCCTGGGGCTTGCAGCTTTCCTGCCCCAGTTGCTTTTGCTCCTGGTTGTGTCTGTAGCGTTCTACAGAGACCTTGCCTTCTGTTGTTTCCTACACACTGCTATTTTTGTGAGTTTTAACAAAGTATGCACATCCCAGTACTTTGTCTGGTATCTCTGCCTTTTGCCCCTCATAATGCCTAGTATTAAGATGTCTTGGCGTCGTGGTGTGCTGCTTCTCTTGATATGGTTTGTTGGACAAGGCCTGTGGCTTGCTCCTGCATACTTTCTGGAGTTCAAAGGATATAACACTTTTTTATTTATATGGTTGGCAGGCTTGCTTTTCCTTTTTATTAATAGCCTCATAATTGTTCAGATTATTTCACATTATCAAAAAGAAGCACAAGTTACAAAAAAACTCAAACAATGGTAATAAACAAACCAAAATCCAGAAACAGCCCTTCTGTCCTTGACAAGTCATTACATACCACCAGCACTTTGTTTAACTAAATGTGTGTGCCTTGTACTAAAGCACACTGTATGTAAACATTACTATTTCGGGGTGGTGAGGACACTGATTGGCCTCACTTACCCTGAGAGCCCCAGTCCTGCCCTGAGTAGTGTCTGCAGGTGTACCTGTCTTCCCTGTGGATCTTGAAACTGTGTTGCAACCTTATCTCCAGCACTGTCTCCGAGCCCTGTGTCCTGCTGCTCCTGACTGGACTCCGTGGAAGTATCCTGGACCAGTTCATCATTTAACTGAGTCTGAGACTGTGAGTGGACTCTGTTAACCCATGTCCCCTGACTTGTTTTCACCAGCCATCTCCAAAGACAGTGTGACTGTGCCCCGGTCTGTGACAGTATGGCCTGTGCTGGGATCACCCCCAGTTCCTGTTTGTACTCCCTCATGGACCAGCCCCAGCACCCTTATTCTTACTTTCAGTGTTACTTTGCTTGTTGAGGACTGTGGCCTCTGTCTGGAATAAGACAAAAGATTATGAAGGAATATTGGAGTTTGACAGTTTTGTACATTCCAGTAAGTCAGTGAGCTGTTTTGCAAGGGCTAATAATGAATGAATGTAAGGCAATCACTTAATATGTACACTGGAATTTATTTTTTCTTTTGTTTTCACAGTTACATTTTAGCTATGCAATGTTTGTGGCCTGTACCTGGTCTTTATTTGGAGAAGTAGTAAAAAAGTGATTATTTCAAACGAGTCATTAACTCTTTGAGACTTTTATTTTAGAATTCAGATATGCCACCCTTTCACTTACTTTTGCATTTGCAGCGCTGTTTGAATTTTTTAATCGATTTGTTACCCTTGCCATGGGGGAAGATTTTTCCATATACCTGTCACGGAGCACAGAGATGTATAAAACAAAAATATCTGTTTCTTTTTGCCATGATCTAGAAAAGAGACCAGTGCCTTAAACTGTGGTTCATTGACAGTTACTGTGGATATTAACAGTGGAAAATGCTAAGAGTCAAAGTACAGCTAGAATGGTACCTGTGTCCCAAAAGCAGTAGGGTTTATACCAAAACAGTAATTAGAAATGAGTTTCTCAGTAGTTCAGTATCTCTACTACTAAAAAATAAATGAAAAAGTGAAAGGAGTTGAGGAAGTGGAGCAGCTGTCAGAAGAAAAGGAAAGTTTTGAAATAGGAAGCTGTACAACCTGTCAATCTTGTTTATTCCCAGATGAAACATAAGATGTGGAATTAAGTGTTAGTGGTAGTGAGGGTTCAGAGCCATTTCCCTTGAGAGTCAATACCCTCAAGAACATCCCACAGGAGGTCTGTATACACAGCATTTGACGGAGGTGGAAACTGGCTAGGTATTTTTTAATACTATCTAGTTTAAATAGGCGTATGCCAAGTACAAGAATTTTCATATTTGCCTCAGCATTTAGTTACATCCTCAACTTTTAGTTAATGAAACCCTTAGTGTGTAATGTGGAGCAGAGCTTCAAGGCAAAATAACTTCAGCCCAGTGGTGTGAGTGGGAAGGGGTATGGCCAAGTGGATTTGCCTTCCAGGTTCATTTTGGCCATGCTGCCTGACTGAATCCTGCTGTCTCTTGAGGCAGGACTGGAGCAGCTCCTAGCTTTCTCATGTATAGGGTTTTCTTTCCTGGTTGTAGTTGTACCTTGTGAGGCAGAATTACAGTATTTTCATCTGTGAACTTTTCCCATTGCTTCCCAGCCCCATTGAGGTGGTTATGAGAAAGGAGAGGAACCCCCTAAGCCCCAACAGCCCAGAGCCAAAGGGCATGTTATCAGGAGGTGTGATGAGTTCCTTACACCACTCTGGCCCAACTTGGCCATTCTGATGTATTAGGATGATTTCCCTGCTCAGAGTGCTGGGGAGTGATTCTGCTCTCTCGCTGGAAAGCTTTCCTTTGCTGTCTGCACTCACACTCACCTTCACATTGTGAAGATCCTGGCAGCCTCTTTGTAAGTCCAGAAATTGGATGATGCAATGGGTATTCTTTTAACCGTCTTTTTTTCTGACAAATCTTTACAGATGTGGCACTGATTGCCTTCCCCTGGCTTCACCTGGGATGAAGGAAGAAAAATTTATAGCATCAGCTTGTCTACATCTTCCATTAGAGGTTTATCACTCAAAAAACTGGTGGCATAAGCCACTTGCATATATAGTTTTATATTAATCAACAAAACATTTGTGTGTGCTATGAGTGCGTGAAGAGAAAGAATCCCACATGCTTTGATTTTCCAAGGTGGAGTTGGACATGCTCAGTTAGCGACTCAGCAAAAGACTGAAGAGGCTCTTTTGTGCCGATGCTTCTGTTCACGCCATTCGGATGTGCAGGGAATAGCTCATTTTCTTTTGCAACTATTCTATTGCCTGTTACACATTTTTCTGTTGCAAAAAGCAGATTTTTCTTCCCCCAAAGCAGTGTTTTGTTTCTCTTTAACAGACTTACTTATGCTATTTCCACACATTTCTACACCTATTTTTCCTCTCCTTTTGGCAACGAAAGCAAATGCAAGCCAAAAGACATTTCCGACTACAGAAGACGGCATCTTAAGTCACTGTGTTCATGACTGAATTGTAATGGTTTTTAGGTAAGGAGTAATTTCCTTATGACGAATACATTCTTGATTCATTAATAGCCAAATCAGTTTGAGGCCGTCAGAAGGCAAATTCTGCAGCAATGGGAACTGAAGGAAACCTTCCCTTTGCAGGTCAGTACCTGCCCTGCAGCAATGATTTGAGGAAGCCATGCATAAACAAGTTATAAAATGCCTTTTATACAAACCTAGATTTACAGTCATCATTTTAATAATCCAGGATGAGTCCCTCTTTTTACAGTTGTTTTCTAAATTACCTGAAAATGTTTGGTATTTAGAAATAATTCCAGTGACTCATAAAAAGCTGGATAAGAGAATAAACTGAGACACAAATAAGAGGTATTTGATAGTTTACATCTTGCAAATTGCTTTAGATAGTTAAATGGAATCATAACTTTACTCATTGGAAAAAAACATTAAATCAAAATAATTTTAGTCAAGCACCAAAAAAAATATAATTCTTGAACAAATCTTGGTGATTAATTGTAATTCCCTTAAAATTTACCAAATTAATTTTCTTTGGAACATTTATTGCTTTTGATGAGGCTTCTTTTGCTTAATATATTTTATGTCCATTTATCTTCTGGTAATTGAACTGAAGTGTCTGAATGCTAGTGTGTAGAGAAGCAAGATTCAGGATGGGAACAGTTCCAGGCATGGAGAAAAGCATACAGCAATTGGCAGGACTTTCATTTGGACTTTACTGTTCTTATGTGGTTTCATTGTATTCACACTACACAGTGCACAACTGCACATGCCCCGGCTTGCCATGAGTTTGCCTGCTGCCTGCTTCCCCTACTCCTCCCCCTTTTACCTCTGTCCGATTCTGGTTTGTCCCTCTGCTTGTCTCCGCCCTGTGTTCTGGGCCTTTCCGCTCCCGAGCTGACAGAAAGAGTGTGTGCACACCTGAATAGAGGATTCTGTTTGCACCTTCCCTCATGTCCCATCCCCTCTTCGGACCGCGACACTGGTGTTCATTCCCTACCACGGGTTGCAAAATTGTAGTGCTGACTTTTTTTTTTAAAAAAAGAAGGTTGAAGTTCCCAGTGAAATATGTCTTATTTGCACAAGTTTTTCGCATTGCACTGAAACCAGCCCTGAAGTGCAAAGTACAAGATGTGAAAGAGGAAGTGAAAAGAAGAATCAAGAAAAGTGACATTTTTGCCTTTCTTTTTACAGTGTAGCCTGTAGTCCAAAGGCTCATGACTGGATGTACAGGTGACTTCAGGCACAGCTTCAGCATTTAGCAATGATTTGATTTAAAATTTATAAATGCAATTACTCAAATAACAGGGCAAATAAAAATATAATAATAAATATTTCATTCAGTTTTAGTGTGAGCATACTAAATTACTATCTGACACAATGTACTTTGTCCTTCTTAAGTAACTGCCCTGTATGTGTGTTACTTGCATTGTATTGACTCCTGAAATAGTACGGCAGCAATTATGTGCTCTAAGCTGAGCTCATCAGTTATCGTTTTCAAAGACACTATGAAGCTTTTATATTTAACAGCAAGGGGAAATTCCAACATTTCTCCCAAGGTTTTATAGAGAAAGCAAATGTTAAAAGACAGTAAATTATGAGCTAGTGGTTCCCTTTTTCATCCAAGAAGAATGAGGTGTATTTTAAAAGGGCTGCAGAAATACATAGTGAACACAGAAAACCTAAAAAGTGTATTCTTCTTATATTTGCCAAAGACAGCTGCAGAATGCATGTTGTACTGATAGCAGCATTATGAAATAGGATTACCCTGAATTTAGGACAAATCCTTTACTCAGACTGAAACCCAGCCACTCATGCAACCTTCTTGTTTAAGCATATGTTTATGTGCACCATACTCACACACCTAAACATTTACCTGCACATACAGAAGCAAAACGAAAAGTCCCATTCAAGACACCTTTGAATAATGTGATTTTTCAGAGCTAGCCTCTATAAAATAGGTTTCTTAGATATTTCTTCTGTTTAGCCCTCAGAATCTCTACTGACTCTAAAACTTGAATTACATAAATTTTGATGTATATGGAAAGTAAAAGCATATGCTGCGGGGATCTTGAGTGTAATGGACACATTAAAGAACCAACTAATTATATATTTGAAGGTGCACATTCAAACAGTATCCTGATATTCTTCATTATAACGGTCTGCGCTAGTCACATTCGTGTAGGAGACTTACTTCAGTCTTTATGCATGATGAATGAGGTAGAGACCTATGTTTTGTACTAGTAAAAGTATCAGAAAGAAAAAATTCTCTTAATGAAGCAGTACCATTGTTTTGTTGTTTGGGTTTTTCAATTATGTTTCTGTAAAGACATTAAGAAATCGATGCAATAAATCCATGCAATTGTGGCGTGCATTTTTAATACCTGGTATGTCTCTTTTTCATCAATCTGGTAAATACAAAGAAGACCAAAATTTGTCATTTTTTGATGACGTAAGCCAATAGTATTTTGAGCAAAATTCTTCATGACTCTCCTTTCTGGTACCTGCTAAGACAGATATGGCTTCTGCAGGAACAAGATTGCTTATCAGGAAGTAATCTGTCTTAATGTGTAGATAAAGCTTTATCTGCAGCCTCTTATACTTAGAGCTTAACTTTAAGACTTTAACGTTCTCTTCAGATAAAACATTTCATGGCTTGCACATAAAGAAATTACACATAGGAGATCCTCCCTATTTTCTTATGGAAATTGATGGAGAAGCAAGCTAGAACATCTGTGGAAGAAACATCTAAAGGAAATGTCTATAGAACTTCAGCCTTGGAAATCAGTTGAAGTGCAGGCAAATTGAGCGGTAAACCCATACTGTGAAACCCCCATTATTTATATGAAGGGTATTCAATCAAATGTGCTTTCCTGTTTTGCAACAGGAAAGTGGGATCTTGATAGCAATTGTCAGGCTGCAGGAATATAACTTTGCTCCTTTCACATTATCGTAAGGGGGTCTATAGGATCTTACAACCTACAGTAGCACTTGTGGAATTGTGCAGGTCTCACTTGCATAAGTTATTAACAGTCAATATTGTTGGTGTACCAAGAGATTATTAGTAAGCAGTTACTCTGAAACTGCTTTTTGAAGGTTAACTCAACTAAAATCTGATTTCTGCTTCACAAGTCAGCAGCTGTGTTAATAGAGATGGTACTATTTTGACAGTAATTTTCCAAGGAGAGCTGCACTCTGTGGCCCATATGCTTCCACTCTGTGCAAAAGAACATTAATTCAAATCCCCTGGTGATCTGACAGCATTTTTTTAATCTATCCCATGTCCCTCCCACTGATCCAATAGATTGAATCAGCCATGAAGCAGGCTTAGAAAATGAAGTGGAAAACAATGTATGATTATCCTTCCCCTGTTTTCCACCCTGTGTAGTGTGTATATGTTGAATAATTAAGATTACCTTTTGGAACACAGTCCCATTTGAGCTAGGTGTTTGTTAATATAAAGTATTTTACCCAAATGCACTTAAGGGAAAATTGACTGAGTGGGCCACGTGGCCTTTTGTCAAATGATAATAAAGCTACTGATAATTTATGTCAGCTTCAATATTAGCACTATTCTGCCCTATCATTCTGTTACATATATATGACAGGTTAACTAAAAATAGCAGTACCTGTAAGTTCTAGCTCCAAGTTTTCCTTAACCAAAGAGTTTGGAGGACACATATAGCCATAAACTGACTAAAAGAGGACGAGTGCTATATCACAGAGAATTTATAATTCATTAATAATTATATCTTTCCCACATCTGGCATCTTCCTGAAGAAAATAGCACTTTTTTTTTTTATACAGTCTGGAAATTCACATGAATAACAAGTACTTCACCTTAAAACTGTCAGATGTATTTGAAAATAGATTTTAATTACCATTAGCACTTCCAAGTTTAGTGCTGGCATCAGCCAGCTTGTTAATTCCAGCAGTACAGGAACTAAGTCATGACCAAATTTCTTTCATGCTCTAATAAACTGGTTGATTAAGTATAAGAAAGTTTGTTGTCCAAACCAAATGTTTTTTGTTCACTGGAAAGAAATACTGCATGGCCAAAGCCAAAATTTACATAAGCAGAATGGAGAAAGTGATCAAGAAACAAGGGCAAAAAGTGAGGCTCCAGAGACCTTGACTACTGTCTTGCCTTTGCCACTAATTTATCATTAGCAAGTGATTGCAGCTTGCTCAGCTGTTTGCCTCTGCCACTTGTGATGGCTTGATATAATAAATGACACCTTATTTGTGCCAAGAT